GGTTCGGGGGAAAAAAGAGGGGCGGTTTCCCCCCCCCCCCCCCCCCCCCCCCCCCGAAGACAAAGAAACGGTAATTAATGAACCAGCTCTCTCGAATTATTGTTCTGGCTACTAATTCTAGTATTGAATAGGACTTACGCCTCCTGGGAGAGATTGAACAGATAAGGAGATCCTTTGATGAAGTCTTCGATTCCATTCTGCCGGAACAAACTATCGTATTTTCGCTGGACGGACAACATCTAGTGTCGATGGAGGATTCCGACTTCGCTCAGATTACTGAATGTGTTTATCTGTCGGAGCCTTTTAATCGAGTGGACTCAGAATCTGGATGGGTTGAAGAGTGACGGAAAGCCGATTTCGAATAACCACGACCTCGTTACCGCATATCATTTTCTCCGGGGGGGTAATTCGGACAATCTGAGTGTCCTTCAAATTGCCGTTACGGTCGCCACCGCGTACATTCATCAAATAAGCGTATATATATATCCGCAAATGCGAAAGAAACGTCCTCAATGACTGTTTCGCATACTACGTCGGAACAAAACCCCAGATCTATGTGACCAACGTACTCCTCTCTGGTTGTGGACTACCAGGGTGTCGAGAACAGAGAACAATTCTCGCTCCCAAAGACGACAGTCGAAGATATACTCTACCGAACAGAGTACATTTGGAGAATAATTCGACAAACGATCAAGGACAAGCAGATTGGGGGAAGTTCATTGTGCGATTGGAAGATGAATGCAAGGACCTTCCAAAAGTCGTCGAGATTCTATGCCAGTCATGCCAACGAAAGGAGATAGACAATACCTAGATCAATCAGGCACTATATATCTAAGCAGATACGCTCTCTCGAAACCGAAAGTTCGTGGTATCTTGGTCCTCTAGAGCATCACTGAAGGAAAAGGGCCGCCGCCACCCAACGCTGACGGAAGAAAAGCCATAAACTGCGACAATGAAGGACCCGTTATATTTCCACCATCGTGTGGAGGCTAATTCCGCCCCGTTCACACCCCATCACTATATTATGCTCAAGCTCGCTCATCAAGACTCACATGTCTCTGCAGTCTGTTCAACGACACAGAGATCATCGTTCAATGATACATGTTGTGGACGACAAAGTGGCCGACTTTGGTGATTATCTGAACTTGCTGTGGCGCCAGGAATGGCAGAAGGATCTGCCGCGAGTTACCAAGAAAACGGATTCCGACGAACCGGAGAATGCCATCGAGAAAACCGAGATCATCGATCCCGACGCCGTGCGCGCACAGTTCCAGAACGTTGACGAGAATGGTGACATTCCTGTTCATCTCCTTTGCCCGTCGTTATTCCAGAAGCTACTCTTCAAGAATGACATTCCTATTCTAAACGCACATCTGATCATGCCGGTGTTGAATGATAATCATCTTTCTCCGAAGAACCTGGAACTCCTCGGCCATTTTCAGTTACTGTTCCTGCATATCTCCAAGCCCACCTCAACTTTTGGAAGAATGGACTGTCTCGTCAACGCCCAGGGAAGAAAAAGACTAGTGAATCACCCTTTATCAGAATCAATAACACCACAAACAGCAACAACTACCAGCAACATCTCGCTCTAACTTAGTTCCTACCGGCAGTACTTGCAAATAATAATATACCATCTATATATTTCCTGCCTCAACTGGCACAACCGCGACGACGATTATAACGAAGGAAGAGAGAGATATCGGAGCTTCATCGCTTCCAAAACCTATGACCTTTCCGAAGACGCATTCCTTCATGGACCCGAAGAATGAAAACATGCGTCGCGTGTTATAGGTCAAACCCAGTCGCAACTTCGGCGAAGCCTCTCTTCCCAGCAAACCATCGTCGTTCAACTTCTCCTGTTTTCACCGAGGCGGCACAGAGATACCTTGGAACCTTGAAATTTGTGACTTTCTGTCATCGCGTGCACGAGAAATGGATGAAACGAAGAAAGCCCCATAGATGTTTCGATAGCATTTTTTCCCGCTAGACTGAATAATCGAATCCTGTAATGTCCTTGACTATCCTTGTGTTAAGATGCTCTCACATTGAAACTTTTGACTCCCTTCTATCGAGTCCCGTAGGCTTTGCTCCAACAAATCCCCCTATATAAACCTACATTATCTCCCTCTCCAACTTCCTGAGCCCAGAAATCAACCTGTGACGCCTCGTCTCATGTCCCCCGCCCACCACATGCTTGTAGTAGTAATCCATCGCTTCATCCATAATCGCCTTCACCTTATCCGCGGGAACCTTCTCTCGACGGTCATAGGAGTATAATCCGTTGACTTCTTGCTCGATGTCACATCTAATAAACGTCAGTCCGGGTCTAACTAGAAAAAGGGGTAAGTGGGAAAAGACGTACAGTTGAGTATAAACAAACCCGCAGGTATGTCCCCCCTTAACAACCGCCATAATCAACTTCTGCAAACGGCTCAACAGATCCTGGGGGTCCGCAGCAGTGGTGTATCCCCAATCTCTCTCCGACGCGGACTCATCCTTTGCTGGGGCGATATTCACGCCACCAAACTCGGTGCAAATAACAGGAGCCCCTTGTTGGTGGTGTGTGCCTGGGTCGAGAACAGTGGAGCCGGATCGGATCGGTCCAGGGAACATCTCTCGATGGCCTCCTTTGTTGGCGAGAATCCCGCCCTCCATTTTGCAGCATGCGGTG